ATTTCTCCCCAATGCGCCATGCCACTTTGCCAGTCATACACACGTTTCGATGCGTGCCCTGTCAGCTGCTTGCGTTGCATGTCGCCTTGCTCCACCCCTGTTTTATTGCTTTCTCTGCTTTCGCCCGGTTCCCGTCCCGTTTCGGCGGGGAGTCTATGTTGCAAGCTAGTTCTTGCTTTACCAGACTTTAAGCCCACACAAGCAGGGGACCGCGGCCGTGCCTTGGCGTGATGCTCCCCCAAGGGAGCGTGCAGGGGGTTTGGATGTCCCGCTAACGACATCCTGTTGTAGCGGGATGGGTCCATCAGAGCCCCGGACGCTCGCCGGAAGCGCGAGTGCCTCACGCTGTGCCAACTGGGCCGCCTCCTTGCCCCTCCCCCCATCCTGGCTGCAGCAAGTGGCACGACTTCCAGCCGGAAGCGCAAGAAGCATCCCGACCTAGTGCTGAGTTAAGCGCCTCCACTGGCCGGCGCTGGCGGGGCGCTGCCGGGACGTGCTTGCAGGTGTGTGCCACCTGCCCGCAGGCAGCGCGTTTTCTTGGTGGCTCAAGCACATGCATCACACAGCAGCAGGGGGATGAAGCTCTGCAGGGGGGTGCTGCCCCATGTGAGGGATGGGGGCTGGCGTCACAGCATGTACAGCCCGCCGGCGAGCGGCCGACCACCCCGCCGCAGCCCGGCATCTCACGCCGGCCTGCGCGCTGCCCTTAGTGCAGGCACCGGTAGTGCAGGCACCCGTAGACCGAGCTTCATCTGCCGCCACCATGACGGGCGGCGCTCAATGGATGCCCCGCAATGCCGAGCCGGCGGCGCCGCCTGATGGCGGTGCCGGCAGCGCCTGGCTGCCTCACCTCGACCCTACCGCAGCAGCCTGGCCTGGCACAGGCGTATGCGCAGCATGGACAGGGCATCCCGTTGTGGAGGCAGCCCCCGGAAATTATAGTGGTGCGTCTGGTGGCGCCGCCGGCACGACCCGAGCCTCAGCCGCACCAGGCCTGCGTGGCGCCGCCGCCGCCGCCATCCACCGGGGCAGGCGATGCGCGAGTGCATGTGCTTGCCCCAGCTGGTACCTTGTCCCGCTCCCCGTCCCTGGCTTCGCTGCCCCACGAGCAGCGCCAGCAGGTGCTGAAGCGGCACCAGCAGCAGGCGGCGGTGCTGCAGCAGCAGCGCGAGCAGCAGCAGCACTGGTGCAGCGCCGTGCAGAGCTTGCTCAGCCGAAGAGTCACTGCCCAGCTGCAGCTGCGCAAGCGGCAGGAGGAGCGGCAGGCTGCCGCTCACAAAGACGACGAGAAGCGGCTTGCTGCAGCGGTGCAGGAGAAAGAGGCGCAGTTGGCGGCGGCGAAGCGGCAGCTGCAGGCGCAGCGGCAGCAGTGGGTCGAGTGGGACGCGCAGCGGGCGCAGCGGGCGCAGCAGGCGCAGCGGCAGCAGGCCTGGGGGCGGCAGCGCCGCCAGCAGCACTCTGCGCGGGAGGCGCAGGGGGAGGGGGATCGAGACAGGGAGCACAAGGCTGGGCACCAGGCGCAGCATGACGCGCTGATGCGGGCACAGCAGGCGCAGCAGGCACAGCACGCGCAGCAGGCCCAGCAGCAGCAGCAGTGCGAGCGCGTCGGCGCTGACCTGTCCCCGCACGCCCGTGCGCCGAGCCTTCCTGCGGACCGGCCGCTCCCGCAGCGCCCGCCCCCCGAGGTGTGCAGCCAGCCAGGCCCCCAACCACCTGCCTTGCAGCCTGCCTGCTCAACTGCGGCTGCCGCTCCCGCCACTGATCCTGCCACCGACGGCGCGCCGGTGCCCGCCTGACTGGATCCCACCGCCTGCCCGCCACCTATACAGGCCAGCAGCAGCTGGGAAGCAGCCGATCCCGCCCCGGCGGAAGCCAGGGCTAGCGACGCGCCCGCACTGCCCACCGCCCTCTCTGACACCCCCGGCAGCGCAGGCAGCGGCAGCGGCACGACCGGCGCCCCGCTTGCTGCCGTCGCCGCCGCTGGCACTGCCGCCGGCGGCGCCGGCGGTTGTGCCGGGCTGAGCCAGCTGGGGCTTCCTGAGGAGGAGCGGGAGCTTTTGGAGGCTCTGGGGGCAGAGATGGAGGTTGATCCATACCTGGTGGTTGAGCTGCTGTCCCCGCTGTCTCCCCTGGAGCTTGGCCAGGCCTCCCCGCTGCTCAACCTGCCCTCGCCCCCCCCCGCTGCCGGCAGCTGAGCCCCTTCGCCGCCGCCTCCAGGCAGCCAGCCAGCGGCTGCAGAGCGCCGCGGTGCAGGCGCCGTCGCCGCAGCAGGGGCAGGAGCAGGAGGGGGCCCCGTCCCGCTGCTGGTCTTCAGACAGCTGGGACGTGCAGTAGCAGGAGGCCGCCCGCCAGCTGCAGGTCCTGCCAGGCAGTACCAACCGTGCCACACCGGCCCTTCAGCAGTGGCGGTGCGTCGCGGCAGACGGTCGCACCCTGACACGGGCTGCCATCAATTATGTGGAATAACACGATACACGTTCTCCGGAGCTCAGCACCAATGGAAAATGCATCGCCCAATACATCTCACCTAATGCACATGCATCACCACACACAATTACCTATTCTCAGGCTCTCCAGCCGAGCCGAGCAGCCCCGCCAGTCATAAACCCGAACTGACACGCTGAGCACTGGTAATGCCCAATCCCCAACCGTCTTTCCTAATACGCCTGCCTTCCACAATTCATCCAGCTCAACCAATCACCACCCAGTACAGGCGCCGGCTCGGGAGCCGCTCGGAGCGGCTCCCGCGCCGCAAGGCTGCCGACCAACCTTGTCCAAAGATGGAGGCACGTGAGCGCCTCCGCATTCCTTTATCCATCATGCCAACATTGATGTGGCAACTTCATTCTCTTTCTCTTATTCTCCACCCTGCCCTCCCCCCCCACCTCCTCAACCAGCAGCTACCACCCATCATCCTCCCCAGCTCCCTCCCAGCGCTGTCGCCCACACGGCGGCGCAGTTGCCGCAGCCCTGCGGCTGATTTTGTTTCAATGATCTTGTGCTTTACCAGTTCCACATGAGTGATTCACTGTTAAACATCATGCAACCGCAAACAGATGAGATGGGGCCCTTGTCCCGGCGGAGCGCTGAGTCAGCGGCGGCGGCGAGGTGGTAGAAAGAGGGCTCTCAGAAATTGCCCCCAATGTTTGCGGGTCTGCCCATCTCTGCTCCAATGCACACCCGTTTCCTGGCGCCCTGTGCCCCCCTCTCGCGGTGACAGTCTGAGGTGCCTTCTTGTGAAAACGACGGTCCCGACCATCCCACTGCCAATTCTTGCTGCGAGGAGCTTACCCGAGCGGCTCGTCGACGATTGAAAGCCAGTCGAAGGGAACGCGCGCCCAGGTGCGAGGATGCGGGGCTGCGGTCTGGAAAAGCAGCCCTACCTCGCCCTCCCCGCTGCGAATCACATGGCAATTGCTGAGACCCACCTAATCAGTTGAATGCCGCTCTGTTAGCGGTGGGTGTCTCGGTCGACCGGAGCAGCTGCAGCGGGTCCGGAGGAGGACCTCACGGGTTGCGCTGGCCATCTGCTCATTCCAGGCCTTTGCCCGCCCTCCTGCAGCAACGGCGCCCAGGCCCAGGCACTCCAGCGGCCGCCCAGCGGCGGGGAGGCCACCCGCCCAGCCTCAGCCGCAGGCGCCCCAGCGGCCGCCGCCCACCTTCCAGTGGCCTCGCCAGCGGCCGGCCCCCGGCGCAGGCGCAGGCGCCATGTCCGCTGTGCAGGCGAGCCGGGCATGTGTGGGGCAGGGCTTGGCGCGGGCAGGCGCAGGCCGCGGGCCTGCACACACTGCACACTCCACGCGGCACGCCCCTTGCCCTGCCGTCCCGGCCGTCGTCCCAGCAGCTTCCACACCGCTGCCGGCGCCCCTCCCCCTCCCCGCTCCCCCCCCTGCAGCCCGCCTCCCCCCTCTTCGCGCTGCAGCAGCACTTTGACTTCCAGCTGTCGCTGCTGCACGAGCAGCCGCCGCTGCCGGGGCTGGCAGACCTGCTCAGCATGTCGCCGCCGGCGCGGTGCCAATCGGCGCCCCTGGAGCATGAGGCCCCCACGCTGCCCCTGCTGCCCGGCAGCACCAGCACACACCTGACCGCCCACCAGCAGGCGATGGCGATGGCGCTGGGCGGCGAGGCCCCCGAGCAGCCCTCCCCCTCCCTTCTGGGCCTGCCGCCCGAGCAACAGCAGCAGCTGCGCGCGCAGCAGGCGCAGCAGGCGGCGCTGCTGCAGCAGCAGCGCGCGGAGCAGCAGCGCTGGTGCGCGGCCGCCGAGCGCCTGCTGCTGCAGTCGCGGGCGTCCGACGAGGCGGAGGGAGATGCCCTGGGCAGCCTCATCCTCAGCCTGCAGTCTGAGATTGAAGACATGGAGTCGCATCAGGGGCGGCAGGAGCGGCTGGAGCGTCGGCGGCGGCAGGAGGGCCTGCAGCGCCAGCAGGCGCAGCTGCAGCGGCAGCAGGAGCTGCGCCAGCGGCAGCAGGAGGATTGGGAGCGGGGCCAGCAGGCGCAGCACGCAGAGTGGGAGGCCGCGCAGCGCCACGACCGAGCCGAGTGGGAGGCGAGGCGCGCGGCCGAGCAGCGGCAGTGGGAGGCGCGGCGGCAGCGGGAGCAGGCAGCATGGGAGGCGCAGCGGCGGCGGGAGGAGGAGGAGTGGGAGGCGGCGCAGCGCGCGGGCATGCTCCCGCTGGCGCAGCGGCTGGGGGGGCAGGATGACGCCTCGCTGGCGGCGATGGACGGCCGGGGGGCGGTGCGGGGCCCGCGCCTGTCTGCCCCAGGCTGCCTGCAGCGCCCCGCGCCGCTCCAGGTGCGGTCGCCGTGCGCAGGCGGCGGCGGAGGCCGGGCCCCGCAGCGCCGCCGGGGACGGCAGACAGCTTCGCTGGAGTGTGCAGCAACACGCATGCAGGCCCTGGCTCTCATGCGGTTCTGCCTGGGGCGGGGCCCAAGCGTGCTTTTGGCCGGCGCCTGAGCCACACACATGCCCCCCTGCCCCCTGCCCCCTGCCCCGTGTGCTGCGCAGGGCCTCGACCCCGACTGGTGGCGCCCCGCTGGCGCCTCTGCAGCACAGCAGCCCGCGGCGCTGCCTACGGCCAAGTCGCGCCCTCCGGCCGCTTTCCAATTCGAGCGCAGCCTGACCAGCACCAACCAGGGCAGCCAGCGCGGCAGCCGCGCCGCCGCCGCAGCCGCCGGCCCGGCACCGCGCGTGCCCCCCGAGCAGCAGCAGCGGCAGCAGCGCGCCGCCGCCGCGGCCGCGGGCGAGGCGCTGGCGGGCGGCGCGCCCTCCCGCAAGCGCCGCTCCTTGGATGTGCCTGCTCTCTTCGAGGTTCAGGTGCAGCCTCACCACCGCCCGCCGCTGCACGCCCACGACTGGGACTGCCAGACGCAGCAGCGGCTGGCCCAGCAGCAGCTGGGGCAGCAGCAGGGGCAGGGGCAGGTGCAGGGGCAGGTGCAGGCGCAGGGGCGCAGCCACTCGCGCGGAGTGCGCTCGGACCTGAGCGGCTCCAGCTAGCTCACACAACAGCTCAGCACAGCACAGCACAGCACAGCACAGCACAGCACAGCACAGCACAACACAGCACAGCACAGCACATCGTGCGCCTGTTGCCTCACTTGTCCAAGCACCCGCCCGTGGCCACGGCCTCGCAGCGGCGCATGCGGGCTGTGCGCATGCGGGCTCACGCCGGGCCTGCCTGTGGGCGGGGACGGCCCTGCTTGCCGCCCAGCGAAGCTCGGGCGCGCCCCCAGTGCAGGCCCATAGCTGGCTGTCCCCAGCGCGCCGCTTTCGTCTCGATCCCGGCTGGCGAGTATGGCGCAGCCCTCCCTCAGATACATGCCCACGTTTTTTGTATGTGCCGCATCCACACTTCCATGTGCATTGCCCGAAATGTGCCTCCTACTCTCTTCCCTCTCTTCTCCTATCTCTCCTTCCCTGCCTCCCTCTCTGCGTCCTCCCTTTCATGATGCTGCACATGTTTCCACTCTCTGCCTCGAGGGGGGTGTGGAGCTCCCTGCCCCGTCCCTCGCTCCCCATTCGGATCCCTTTCTTTGCTTGTGTCACCACCGCTCTCTAACGCTCTCCCGACGTTCT